ACACATGTTGATTCATCAATAAAATCCTTTACGCTCTGACCTTCTGGAAAGATAGGTGGTGTATTAATCTATTATCTCCTAGAGCGCTCCTAGGGACCAATCAAGCGTGAGACCTTAACATATGGTATAAGAGGGTAGTCTATTCTACCCAAGTCCAACTCTTTTTGGATTTTTAAATGTTACATAAGATGATTATTTTTAACAAATTTGAGATTTCTTGCTATACCATAGAACCTACCACTGTACCATCATATCCTCGCTTGAAGCCATATTTGAAACCATTAACGAGAAACCTAGCCTGATACGGAAAATGCTTGGCCATTCGTTCCTTCACCTGTGTCTTGACTGGTGTTCGACCGAGCTGTATAACTCTTGCAAGAGTGCTGGCTGATGTACATCTGCAGGCTGGATGGGCATCGCTTCCACATCCGGAACAGCTGTGTCGGCACTTGCACTTTTGTCTAAAACACTTGCTCTGATTGAAGTTGTTACATGTGTTGCTTGCAGGTCGATGTAATTTGCCCTGAAATGTCCTGACGTTTCGTTTTTGTATACCAGAAACACCCAGAACTGACCTGTTGATGGTAAGCGTCTGTACAAATGACATCCACAATTCCACATTAAAGTTTCCCCATGGTAGAGACTGGTCACGAGCCTGGCGAAGACGATATTGTTCATCATAGGTTCTCCATCCCAAACCAGTATGACTAGACGCTGCTAAACGGACAGTATTCATGTGTTTCAGTAAACCTTGTACCATGTCCATCCTGCACTGGACATAAATACTCATGTAAGTTGTGAAAGCTGTTGTCCAATCAAAAATGTTCTAATTCTCGCGCCTAGAGACTTGGGCATCAACTCCAGCTGTCCAGCTGTACTGATAAATACTGCCGAAGTTGTATATAATGCATCAAATCTCTGTCTGGTTTAAGCAAAAGTGCTAAAAATGATGTACTCACCATTCCATAGTTCGTTTTTAATGCTGACAGGAATATTACAACCCAAATGATCATACACACCTTGTGTTGTTTTAGGTGGTGGCATATTTTGAAACATGCGAATGACTTGTGAATTATGAGGGGCAATTGGGTTTCTAACCATGCTAGGAGTATTGTTATGATACTGGGATTGATGGACATGATTTGGGTTACTAACCACGCTAGGAGTATTGTTATGATACTGGGATTGAGGGACATGATTTGGGTTACTAACCATGCTAGGAGTATTGTTATGATACTGGGATTGATGGACATGATTTGGGTTACTAACCACGCTAGGAGTATTGTTATGATACTGGGATTGATGGACATGATTTGGGTTACTAACCATGCTAGGAGTATTGTTATGATACTGGGATTGAGGGACATGATTTGGGTTACTAACCACGCTAGGAGTATTGTTATGATACTGGGATTGAGGGACATGATTTGGGTTACTAACCATGCTAGGAGTATTGTTATGATACTGGGATTGAGGGACATGATTTGGGTTACTAACCACGCTAGGAGCATAGTAATGATACTGGGATTGATGGACATGATTTGGGTTACTAACCACACTAGGAGCATTGTTATGATACTGGGATTGATGGACATGATTTGGGTTACTAACCACGCTAGGAACATAGTTATGATACTGGGATTGATGGACATGATTTGGGTTACTAACCACACTAGGAGCATTGTTATGATACTGGGATTGATGGACATGATTTGGGTTACTAACCACACTAGGAGCATTGTTATGATACTGGGATTGATGGACATGATTTGGGTTACTAACCACGCTAGGAACATAGTTATGATACTGGGATTGATGGACATGATTTGGGTTACTAACCACACTAGGAGCATTGTTATGATACTGGGATTGATGGACATGATTTTCAAATTCCGGGAGGATACATTTGTGAGATAACTAAAGGGTTATATGCATTATTGGGATAATAACCAATTTGCACCGACTCACCTCCTGAAGGAGTAGTGGTAACGGCGTTATCGTCGATAGCCTCTTGGACCATTTGGACCTCTGCTTCGGCCACGCTGCTGTCGCCATTTTCCTTGTCTCCATGACACGCACTCTTATAGCTGCAGTTGTTACTGCAAATCTTGATTCCATCCCCCCAAAACAAAATTGTCCATTGTTTGAAATACTTTTCCATGAGGATAAGTAAATTACTTACGCCACAAAAACGAGAATTAGAAATGTTTCTTCTAACGTAAGTGTTTCCGCCATTTAAAAAACGTGTTACCGGTGTGGTTGTGTGGATGAAAAGAGGATGTAGCAACTAAATTCAGCTGCAACATGGGTTACTTCCCTTTGTTTAGAGCATGTGAAGAACACTTCCTGAATAATACACTGATAAGGTGCCTTGCACAATTTAACCAGGAAGAGTAGCTTCCCTTGCACTATTAACCCAGGAAGAGTACCTTCTCTTTGACCGTTGACCACAAATGCAGGGGGAGAAAGCCCCTTGAATAGGAATAATGTAAGATTACCAAAATAATGCATTTTATTAATTGATAATAAAACTAATTAATATGAACACAGTCCGTACCCAAAACGCTCAAATCTACAAACCACAAAGCTTGACCACATATCTCGTTTACTGTACAGTGAGTATGTGTGTGTGTTTTAATTTCCTCTGGTTTTTTGGCCCAGATTCAATCATGTACTGGCCGCTGTGAAAATGCTAGAATATTTCGGACTGCTGCGCACTCTGGGCGTTTTGTTTCAAATTCAGTTTAACACAGTTACATCTAAGGTAATCTTGGTTAACATTGAAAATACAGTGTCTTTTTTAATTGATATGTGCATTCAGGTGTTCCTATTTTTAAATAGATATCGGAGGAAATGTCTTTATCCTTACTTAAATGCTTTGCAAGCTTCGGTTTTTTCGTGAAGCATACAGACTTATTTTACCTGTATAGTGTGAACATTATGTGGCTTGCGTCCCTGTCTAAGAATATTTATAGAAAATGTCCCCCATCACGTCAGCCTTTGTTATGTCGCGTGTATTGAAATATGAAAACTCACCAAGCAAATAATCCTGCTGCGAATCGTATTGGTTGAACATAAAGGCTATTTCCTTGTGAAAAATAATGTTTATCGAAACGAATGTCAATTGATAAAGATTCTTTGTTGAAAAGTGGCGCGGATGAGAGACTGAATACAAATTCCCTTGGCTGTGTACAAGTATATAATTTGAACAATAGCATCGGTGCTTCTGAGGTAGAGTGGCAGTAGCTTCGGGACTAATAATGCATTGAATATCTGTCCATTAAAGCACACTATCGGCATCCATGAAATAAGCGATTGTGTTTGACACTACAATACGAACTAACTTAACAATATGAACATGAATAATGACTGCTAAAGGTTTCTAACGTAGATTTTCACACGCCCAAGGTATGATATATTATGCATTTATGAATAACAAGGGACTGTCGTATGTGTAAAGTGGGTGGTACGTGTTGGAGAAGGCTGTAAATGACAAGGGTGCTATTAACGTGTAAGTATACGTAGGAAGCGTTGTGATGAGAGCTTTGTGTGTGGATTGTATATGTAAAAGGCGTTGTATATGCAGAGATTGTAGATTGACACAAAATCGGTAAATTCACTATTGTGTCACGGGTTTTTCTGATCCTTCACTTGATTGTCTGGTTGTTAACAGTTCGCTGTCCTATGGAAGGAGTACAGGTGTTTATGAAATTGTGTAAGTGACTTGTGCATAACCTTGTCGAGAACAGCTGCTCTCATCACTGGTTTTCAGTGATCCACTCATGTGATTCCCACACCATTTGGGGCACGGGTGGCCCAGTCGTCTAAGGCGCCGCCATTCGCTGTGCAGAGTTGCGTCCCTTGGGCACGCCAGAAACCTATGATTGTGGGTTCGAATCCCGGTTCGCCCCGATTATGTTTCTAGGTTTGTCAGCACCATACCCATGTTCGTGGGTTTCACCGAAGTGGTAAACGTCCTGCATCACTTCGGGCTTTCCTCCAACATTAAGCTGACACGTCGCGATATAACTGTAATACTGTTAAAAGCAGCGTTAAACCAAACTCACTCACTCCCACACCATTCTGCCTTTCACGCCAAATGGTTACTTGGTTGGTTGTTTTACGCCGCACTCAGCAATATTCCCGCTACGGTGGTCTGGAAATAATCGAGTCTGGACCAGACAATGCAGTGATTGATATCATAAGCATCTTTCCACGCAACTTGGATCGATGACATGCTTCAACCAAAATAGCGAGGCTGTTCACCCGATCCCGTTTGTCGCCTCATACGACAAGCATAGTCGCCTTTTATGGCAAGCATGGGTTGCTGAAGACCTATTCTACCCCGGATCTTCATGGGTCTCAGGCCAAATGGAATCTGTTTCGGCAGAATCTGTTTCTAGTTTCGAATCCGGTTTCTTGCATCATTTGGTCGCGTATTTATAGTGTTGGTAAACGTTTCAAGATTAATGAAGGTTCCTGTGTCGTCTAGCGAGTCGTTAAGTAGATTTAGAGTAATGTGGCAGTTGAATCTACTTTGCACCCTCCCAGTGGGGATTCCGAGTTGGAGTATGTCCTCAAAACCTCTACTGGTTGTACAAGGCGATCGGTGGTCATGCCCCGTGTCTTAGTTGATGGCATGTCATCGTACCCCGACGGCGTCCATCTTTGCTCACAACATCAATCACTGGATTGTGTGATTGTTTGTCTCGCTTATTTACATAGCTGGAATATTGCTGAGTGCGGCGTTAAACAACAAACTAATACAACTTTTTGGCTGCCAGCATCTACACCGTGCTATTTCTTCATCTGAAGCCTCTGACAATTATCCATACGTCCAGTACATGCCATGTGTGGTTCACTCGCGATATAATACCTCTTAGGTCATACGGTGTTACAGGCCTAGAGGTGATTGTCCTTGCGGAACGCCCCTCAGCATAAGCACTTACCACTCAACCAAGTCGTTTCGCGTTCAGAGAAACAAGTCAACAAGAGCCTTTTCACATCCTTTATTAACATGAGATCCGCAACATACAGATTTCGACCAGACTGGAACTCGCGATGGGAACACCGGAACTTAACTACTCCATTCTGTCATCACTTTCTCGTTTTGTTATTCTCTATCGTTCTTTGCTTATCATCTTAGCCAATTGGTATTACCGTTTTTTATTAATCGATTTACCGTTTCTCCCACATCGATACAATTGAATTCTAACATTTTCTAGATTTTTTGTAAACACACCCGAAACAGTCTACCATTTTTTTACTTAATGCCAGCACTGCATTATGCATTGCCTTGTATTATGTTGTAACTTTCATATCAGAAATGACTAGACCAAGGTTGGGATGTGTACAAACAAAATACATATCGAACATGTATGATGCAAAACAGGGTGCACTAGTCTACAGAATAATTGACTCTTAACAGCTATTGGATTTTAATTGCATTCCGAGTTGAAAGAACAAAACATAATACTTACGATCACTGATAAATTGAGAAATATACCACAAAGCAGATATATGCCCGTTTGGATAATTATCGTCCACAATGCTAATGAAGATGGTACACACGTCAATCCACTTAGCCATGAAACTACACAACCACGAAAACGTTCACGTGTCACTTGCCCTCATAACACGGAGGTGGTTCCCTCCGCCTGTAACTTTCTTGAAGGCATTTTTAACTCCTGTGGTCAAGAGCTGCCCTTTGCTCAGAAAAGACTAGGCTAGGGTGGGATGTGTACAAACAACATATATAACTTACATGCATGAAGCAAAACAGGGTGTACTGATCTACAGAATATTTGACACTAACAGCTACTAGATTTTAATTGTACTCTTTCTGAGTTAAAAGAACACAAAACTATACTTACGATAACTGATACAAGCTATTGGATATTCATAATATATTCTTCCTGAATTAGAAGTACAGATAACTGTCACTTACGATAATTGAAATTTGAAAAATCTATGCTGTGTTTCACCTTATAATATAACCACAAAGCACATATACACAATGAGACAATTGTCTATGTTCACAATGGTCACAAAGACGGTGCATATGTCAATCTACTTTGTGATGAAGCTGCACCACAATTCACTAAAACTTCAAGTGTCACTGGTCCAGAAAGAACGTAGCACGTGTACGCCACGTTGTAGCCGATGTTGACGAGACATCACTGTCTCCTCCGTGTAGGAAACGTTGATGGAGTTCAACTATCGCTGCTGTTGATCAACATAACGTTCTTGTGCAATAGTCGCAAAGGTCTGTCAATGTTTCACAATATGTAACTGAGAACCAATGGTGTCTTTGTATCATCACAAGTCTGTTCTGGCGATTGTCCAGACTGAACAATACCTGTTCCCTAGCAGTGTCCTATTGCTGTGGATGAGGGAAAATAAAACGGCATTCCGTTGTACCAGCCCTGACTTTGTGTCATCCTGATTGACAATGTGAAACTTTATACATGTAGGTCACGCGACCTTCAGACTTTAGTGTTTTTGTTTAGATTTGTTGACCAATGTTGACAGCAACTTCATTTGAGCTCTAAGGTGAGCTCCAGTGATCGATGCCTGTTAGGCAAATATGAATGATCTAAAGGTACTCCATACTGTGCATGGAAAAAGTAACCCTAAGACTAGCCAAAATCTGTCTACACGGTGGTACATATTGTTGTGCATTTTTACTGATGTTGAAATGATATAAAGATGTATCACATTTCCAATACAGTTTGCACCTGAACTGACTGATTTTTGTTAGAATAATTATCATCTTGCCTTAATGAAGAAATAAAGACACTTTTTGGCGGGTGGATACTGAGTTCCGAGTCGCTTTGAAAGGTATTTCAGTTATATAACATTGATCAAGTAACATGTTAGAGGAATACACACCATGCGCATGGGTGCCGACAAATCAAGGATCATAGTAAGAAACAAACTGATATTCGAACCCACGATCAGTGCATTATCAGTGAGTGTCAATAGGTATTGTTTTATGCCGCTTTTAGCAACATTCCAGCAATATCACAGCGCGGACACCAGAAATGGGTTCCACACATTGTACCCATATTGGTAGTCGAAACCCGGGACTTCGGCGTGACGAACAAACGCTTTAACCACTGGGCTACGCCACCAGCCTATTTTTATATAAATGAAGAACCCACATCTATATAGAGTTCCGTGCCTCTGGTCCTAATTACTGCAGTCAAATAGAAGAGTTATGCGACGTAGGGCATCACATGTTTCTGTACCATGCTGGTGATGTATCCAGGCAGTTACTGACAGAGGACGCCGACGTCTTCACCATGACCACAGTTGTGAGTGCCCCATTGTTGGTGACAACACTGGCTCAGAAATGACTCGTCCCCAGCACAATTTACATCATCCAGTTGTATTGGGCCACTTCCTTGACCATAGAAAGCAGAAGCCTTCGGTATTGCGTTGTCTCTGGAAATATGTTTACGAACGTTGTTAAAATGCTAATGATTGTTATGACAGATGGCTGATGTTGCTATGCAACTTTCTAATGCAGAGCTGGAAATCACTTGTATGGGGTATAGATTTTACGTCATAGGTATTTAATTTAACGATAGTTTTAGTACACTTCGCTACTATTATCCATGATATTAGACAACGAGACAACGTTTTAATACAATAAGGTGGAGTGCGACAGTGATATCAGTGTTACCAAACAGATACCAAAGATTACCTGCTGAATACAGTTCTATTATATCAGATTTCATGTTGACCGTTGCAGATAGAAAACATGGCATTAACCAATTTCTTGATATAAGATTACGAGCCGTTTTACATCCTCACGCACTTCCAGCATGCCTAAATCTTCCTACGAATCCAGTTCCGAAAATCAAACCTTCCTCTCTCATTCAAAAACAGACTCTAGACATCAAAACAACTCATACCCCACACAAATCTCTTTTCAAGAACAACCATTCTGGAAATAATTGCTTTCTTTAGCAATAAATACGTTTGTGATCCATCCACTTGACATTTAGTTACTAAAGTGGTGAAAATATATCACAATATTATTATTTCTCCTAAAACAGGGCTTGATCTCCAATCGCCAGCAGTGGTTTATTCGTAGTGGTTTCGTTTTATTAACGCAATCTGATTGGCTGGCTGAGAGTGGAGGGCTGTGTCATCGCGATTTGATTGGCTGCCTAAAAATAATTGCCGGCACTATTTTCGTATCGGGGATACCCGAGGTCGTCTAGTACAGAAAATCACCAACTGTCAAAACATTACCGTAGTGACGATGTTTCCATCTCCGAAAGATGGTTACCAAGAGAAAATGTGCGGGGGAGGAAGGGATGTGATAGGTGGAGATGTATCAGAGAATTTGAGCTTCCCAGTGTACGAGATTCAGTTGTAGAATGAGAAGATGGTAACCGAAGCGAGATACCGCTTCGATATTACGGGACCTGGTGAGCCACTCCGGTATAATCTTTACTGGGCGTTTTCAAGACTAATATAACAGCTTATGAAACAGTTAATTAACTCTTGTAAAAATACTGATAAAATAGCGAAACATACCATATTGTTTTTGGTATTTTTAAAAAATAACCATCAACCACATAAGAAATGTCACGTTATTTCAAAGTGTTGATCAAGAGCCGATCGATCGTTTGTGTAACCCAGCGTCAAAAACATATTTTATAGTTATATTGAAAAGGCTTATATTTCATATTTTAAGAAAATAAACACCTTAAATAAATTGTATTAAAAGACATACTCAATTTTAATGCATTAACGATCAACCTTTGCCAGACCGAACATCTCACGACCAAGATGTTTTGCAACCACCGCAGTTGTTTCCCCTTTCAACAGTTGGAGGTTATCCAGGTCAATATAATTCATTTATTTTGGCCAATAATTATATATTTGTTTGTTTGTAACTTGAAGACTTCATATATTTAAACATACTATTTCAGGCCAATTAAGAAACTCATTTTTCTTTTAAAAAAAACATTACCACATAACTTGAAAGTTTTTAGTTTCAGTTGGTTGGTTGGTTTCTGTTTAACGCCGCACTTAGCATTTCCAGCTATATGACGGCGGTCTATAAATAATCCAGTGATTGATATCTTGAGCATCGATCCACGCAATTGGGATCGATGACATGCATCAACCAAGTCAGCGAGCCTGACCACCCGATCCCGTTAGTCGCCTTTTACGACAAGCATAGTCGCCTTTTAACGGCAAGCATGGGTTGCTGAAGACCTATTCTACCCCGGATCTATTTAGTTTAAGTACCTAAATCTATGTATTTATATTTTTTCTTAGCTATTTTGATTTCTTATAGGGAGCAGACAAAATGATGAAGATAAAGATGGTGGGCACCAATCAACCTTATTAGGTATATTTTTCAAAAATCTTTTTTTCTTCAATAATGATTTGCACCTATGCATTTTAAAATATATTTGGTATTTTGGATAGGATAAAATCATCTCAAAATTAATTTCATATTATCATTTTTAGGTAGAAACTCACTATCACAGTTAATTATTTTCAGAATTAACAGACAATACAGAGTATTAAAGAAATGTAGAATTATGTTTGTCTCATGTATATTCTTTAAACCAAAGTTGTTGTTTTTATTATTTACCATGTTTATTGAAAAAAATAAATTAAATAATGCAACTGTTACATTATCATAGCAGATAAATATCCCCAATATGCATAGCTAGCTTAATTTTAAAGATAATTATTCAGCATTTCTTTGGATGATAAACTGGACATATGAAAAAATAAAAATGTACTTTTTCTGTATTATTTTCCCATTAAAAGGTTTACAGTAATTTATTTTTTTCACACAATATTATTGGCTGCCTGAGAGTGGAAAGCTATGTTGCTAATTTAACCAGAGACGTTAAATCATTCTATTGTGTAATGTGTAAATTTTCAGAACTTGGTAAGTAAAAAAACCTCAAATATAAGGATGATGAAGAAACGACCAACAAGAGGTCATCTTATAACATTAACCATTAACCCCATTTCTCAATATAAGCAATGTCAAATTTTAATTTTAATACTTTTTACAAACAATTCACATATGATCAGGTCACTAAAATAGATATTTATTACGAGTCTTGTTTTCATGATGACAAATAGAAGAACATGTTACATTTTATTTACCAACGATCAGTTATTCTTAATTTCTAATCTGATAAAATATAAAATAAAACGTTTGGATGAAACTGTAGCAGTAAAATAACAACATAATATTACAAGGGTATTATAAAATAATGTAAAGATTTGTAAACTATTGAAATGATAATTTATTGTTTACATATATCCTATGTATTTATGTTTCACACACACTAAAGTATCTTTGCTTGTCAAATTCAAAGATATGGGAAAATTAGATAGCTCATTTAGTAACATGTTTTGTGTTATGATGTAAAATATCATGGTCAAAAGAAAAATTGTGCACTGAATTAGTAATTTTTTTTTTATATATTTATAATACAAACACATGTGCTCACCATGTTCAGGGAACAAAACAAATATGATAAAAAAGAGGACATGAAATAATCATCATTTTACATATTTAATTATTCACTGTAAAGTTCTTTTTAAAGACGAAAATTCGGTTGAAAATATTACAATTCATTGATGGTGTTGAGAAGATTTACATAGCAGTAGTCTGATCAGTTGCCTGAGTTGGTATTTATAGAATCTAGCCTTGTCAATCCCGCTGACAGTTCCTGTGGCGCTTGTTTTTCGTTAACAATATGTTACAAAAAAGACAATATTTAATTTCCTCATATTGGGTTTATTACATTAGTTTCTAACGGACAAATAAACGAATAACGTATTTACATACACTAAAAATGTGGGCATATTTAGTGTTGCGCGTTGAGAATGATAGGCACGGTGAGGCGAATGCAAATGAAGTTATGGGCCGAGTTATCCAAAGCCATCAACAAATATCAAATCACATTAATTATTCTCAAAACGTAACTCCCATCAACTTTTAATAGTTAACAAAGAACATAACATGAATGCTAACAAGTGGCTTGCCTGTCACGGGAAAACACGTGTGAGTTGTCTTCGCTAGATCCTTTTTACCTGTTTATGGTGCAGTTGTCTTACTGAGCAAATTCGAAAACGAGGCTGGGGGGAATCCCGAGTGGTTACTAACACAGGAAATCTTTAACTACGAGCTCGACTTTTTATTGCGTGTGGTTATGGGAGAAAAAGGATTAACTACTGTGAATAATCTGCCACGATAAGAACGAGGCTTTGCTTTTCACTCGTGTGTAGATGTTTCGGTAACAACCAAAGCCTCGTTCTAATCGTGGAAGATTAATCGTTCGTGTGTAGTTTTTTCGGTAACAACCGAACACAGTGGTTAATCCTCTGTGTCACAGAATGAAGATAATTGTTGCCATCGTTGTTACAGTGTGATATATGTTTAATTGTTTTTCATGAGATTGTTTCTCGTCCAAAGACTAGTTTATTTCACACACATAAGGAATAAACGTATCTCTACGCATAAGTTATCATTATATTGCCAACAATTCTGGTATAATTGTTTTAAAAAAGGCAACTTCCCCACTCTTAAATAAGTAAGTTTAAGTACCATACCAAAGTAACCTTTGTCCATCTCTGAAGGAAGGGAAAAGGTAAAACAGATATAGTTCACGTTGTCAATTTTACAAGTATCAATATTTAGCCACTTTTGTTCTTCCTCAAAAGACTGTTTAAATGTTTACATAACGCCTGCCCTAGTGATGTAGCTAGATATACATGTTTTGCATGATGGATAGCATTGATAAACACATTTTGATCAATTACAATGTTGGGTGTCCTAATATACTCACGAGGGCAATCCAAGTTCTCTACAGACAACTCTGGCATCGACATCAGTGAATCCGTCGTCACAGACTGTTCCCCATGTAGACTGGTACCTAATCTCAAGACGGCCAGACTGAGGACCCGGAACAAGTCGAACGATTTCGTCATGTTGCATTGTACTAGTATCTGTGGATAAATATGTATTATCAACACTGGTTTCCGAGACCATCAATTCCTGGAGATTTCCCAGTTTTCAATTTTTTCAATGTATGTTTAATTTCTTCTTCAGTTACTCGTATTACACCTCCTATTAAGTCATCACACCGTGCACATTTCTCACAATTAGCAAAATTATGATCTAGAATTTAATTCTTGACATATTCGTTAAACGCAGCATCTGATTCTATCTCTGGGTTTAAAAGTCTCTTAAAATAGGTCAGCCATTCTTCTCCTGATATTTCTTGCCTTAATTATTGGTAAGATCCACATAGTTTCTTATTTAGTTTCCAGAATAGTTTACAATCTTTGTCTTGTGCTGCTTTAGAAATATCCTCCATAATCTTATTCTCAAAATCCTTTTTCTTCTGTTTGCACAAACTTCTAAAATGATTCTTCAAAGATATATATTATGTATAATATTCAGTATTATTTGTCTTTCTGAAAAGGTTTAACGTTTTATGTTTGTTCTTTTTAGCACTATGGCAGCTCTTGTCGAACCATTGTGGTTGCTGGTTAATTATTTTGGTCCTTTTTCCAGTAGTAGAATGAAAACCTATCTTGACAAGTCATTTACTAGCAGCTATTTGTAATAGTTCAACACTGTAATCAATATTATGTTCAACTGCTTTTTTTAATGTGTCTATATTAAAAGATTGTTCATTACTAAGGTGGTTGAGGAATGCATCGCGTCTACAGTTCTCCCGCACAAAGCGCGTCATGTCATGTTGTTCGCACTGTGTTTCACGTGCTGCGTCGTGCTGGTATATTGACATGTCATTTTCATTTGGTAACAGATATAACAGCTTCACGGGCATGTGATCTGAATGTGTTTCGCTCAGCACATGAAAAGATTCAACATAAGTAAACTATCGGATGACACTACACAGTAATCGATGACACTACAGCCTACCTACGAAAGTTAACTCGCCACACTCGTCTCCATGCTTTCTGCCATTTGTCACGTGCATATCAAACTGACAACACAAATCTATCAATGATCGACCGTAGCTATTAACAATATAATCCTTTGATGATCGAATTATGTTAAAGGAATCGATACTGTAGAGGCACTCATCATCTAATGGTAGATATGCTGTGCCTTCATTAATTATAAAGTCCTGCAATTGACCCATGCGGGCGTTAAAATCACCAAACAATATGAATCTGCATTCTTGATATTCATGTAAGAGTTCGAATAATTTACCTTCTATGTTTTCTAGTCCATTTTCCAATTCTGTTTCAGTTCTGTTTGGAGGTATATATATAAATCCTAGCATACATGCTTTGGCAAAGATATCTGGCACATAGAAAAAGACACAGTCCTCCCACTCTTTATGTATTCTCCTGAAGTGTTCGTACAAGCCTTCCTTAATATAGACGGCGATACCTCCGCTATAGCTACCTTTCAAATGTAGTTTCATTCTAGTGCATTGAAATGAAGAGTAACCCGGAAATAAATCCCGAAATTCTGTGTGGTTTTTAGCCCATGTCTCGAGCAAAGCAAAAACACTATGTTTACTTAATGTGGATTTAAGTTTGTTAAGTTCTGAGTTAATCTTGGAGTATAGTCCATTGATATTCCAACAGAGGACAGAAATACCTTGTGTGTTGTGAAGACGGTTGCTTATACGTCGAATATGTTTGTCCTTGGTCAAAGAGATATCTTGTCGGCCTCGGCCGTATCCCCAGGTTGTGTTAACCTTCTCAGTGTCGTCGTGATTACGTTCCATAATTTGTCCATGAGTGCTCTCCCTTCCTCGCTGACCCACACGAATGAGTTTGTCATTTACACTGTCATACATGTAAGCACGATTTGATACAATGAGTTTATCATATGAAAAATGGCAGTTTTCTTCACCTTTATTTCTGTATTCTTCCAGACACTTTCCATGTTGTTTCCTCGTCTCTCTGATGTTTCTTGTATAGTCATCACCAACTCTGTAGGCTTTGTTACCTTTCAACACTGTTCTTGCTTGTTTCTTCACTTTTACTTTGAACGAGGAAAACCTCGCAACTTAGGTCTGGGACTCGTCTTTGTCAGTAATCTATGAACCCTTTCCAGGCCGATGTCGACAACATTTTCTAGTTTCAATGTATGTTTCATAAAGTTTCTTACTTTATCTTCACTTTCTTCCCATGTTTCTGCAGCCTCATCATCCATTCCAAAGATTATCACATTTGATCTCCTCATCTGTGCTTCAAGTCTTTCCACGGAAGTTTTAAGTTGTTAATTTTCTTGCCATAACTTGTCATTTTCCGTCCACAGATTGTCTTTTTCGGTTCGGCCATGCAGTTTTTATTTGATTCGACAGTTGTTGGTATATCACGCAATATATCTTTCACTTCTTTATCTGATTCGGACTGATTCGGATATGATTATCCATATGGGGCTGTGTCGACTTGCAATCCTCCTCTCCCACGTGCAGTCAGTCGAGCTTGACGGGTGTTATGTCCGGGGCCCGGGTTAGGCTCAACACTGCCACTCACAAGGAGTAAACACACGACGATATAATATTTCAGGGGATAGTCATCCTCTTATACACAGCAGATGCGTTCTGGACATAGTATATTATATTTCGGTTCCATAGACTGTACGTCCAGAACACACAAACAGGACCGTTTATCCTGTATAAGGAATGTCAGTGGATCTTCCAGTTAGCTGCCTACTGTTGGTAATATCCGTTTTCTTTTAACATATAAAAATATTTTCAAAATATATGATCTACAACGAAGATTTGCCCAACCATCACAACCGCATCAAACCCCGTGGTAGACCGGATACAGTTATTAGCGCATCGACAGCGTGAGGTGTTGGTTCAAAGCGAAACGGACAACCCTTTGATCTTGCCCTCAACCATGCTTGTAGTGGAAGTAAACGATTGCCTGGAAATAAACAAGATTCTTTCTTGCTGCATATCAAGGCACCAATTCATCGGTCATGGGGCGTTGTTATGTATGTGTAGCCCAGTGTATCCACAATTAACTAGAATGTTTCATATCGACAAAAAATATATATGCGTCAGTGAGGTTTATCAACACATGTCTTACGCTTATTCACTCTTGGTGAGGGAGACTGAAATTGAACATTATGATAGCGTCAGCAGGAATAATAGAGGTCATAAGACATAACTTTATTGGCTTTTCTGGCATATGAAGATCATACATAAATATAATAGTTTTTTAACATATGTATTTTTGTACTATTAAACAAACTGTGACTTTGAAGACATTTTCACTTATTGTAATAACATCAAGGTAACGAATCATATCTATCTCTGAAATCCACGAGCATAGTTGCTGTCAAAACTAAGAACATAATCAGGGCGGCCAGTTTTGACTTGTCATGTGCCTAAAAGTGAGTTTATTCTTAAACATGTCAAAACCGATTGACCCTACACTAACGCTTGAAAATGTCTCTCGGACTGTTATGGGTAATGATGTATTTCATAATATTACTGGGGGATGTTCAAGTTCGTTCCTATCATTTACTCCAACGTTCTAACTGTCAACCATCTCAACAGGACCAACTTTGGTTATATATCGACTCCCCGTCTCTATATCTTAAGTTGTTAATCGATAACTGCGGTCCAAATTTATCAACTTATTCATCTATTGTTGCAAACTGGTTTGTTTACACAATAAATATAATTTATTGCTCATGAATTACTGAGGCAGTGAGGCACCTGTATAAGAAATGTAAAAGCAGATATGTTACATGTAGTCCAAAAGGCATCGCAATATAACTTGAAAAAATGCTGGTGTGACGTGATATTTAAACTTACTCACAGACGATATATTTTTCGTGAGAGTGTAGCACAATTTTATTTACAATTTGATAAATCATAATAATATGAATATTAAATTTCATCATCACTTGTCAAGTTTCCTAAAATCTCACCAGTTGGAAGATGTCACAGATAAACAAGGATTTTATCTAAGTTTGATTGTCTTTGACACAGATGTTTATCCCTACTTTGCCAGGACACTGCAGAGGATTAACAGTTACTGTGAGTGAGTGAGTGTGTGTGGTTATACGCCGCTTTTAGCAGTTTCTGTGTTTACACAAGCAAAGAAGCACAAACGTCATGCCCAAAACCCTCACAGTAGTGCCCGCTTCACAAGTATCCATCACAACCTATGAATGCTAACATGTGAATAAACTGAACTTTAAATAATTAAAGCACTTGCAGTGACCAATTAACAAGTAATCAGTGAGAGAGTATATGAATACTGGGACCGCTAAACAACTTCTTTGTAAATAGACAAATGCGCCTGTGAATGGCTCGGTGGTCGTAGCCTTGTATATCAAGGTTTTTAATACCAAGTGAAACAAAGACGAGGTTCACTGGAAATACTGTAAGCTGCATGTCCAGCCTCCATCAACCCCTCTAGTGATCTTGCGCATAACCATTGTCATGACCTGTTTGAGTGACGTCCTTCCATGAGCGTGAAAGGATTACCCACAGAGAAAGAAAGGATTAAAATCATACAGATATCCTATCTACATGGTAGAAGTACCCACAACCAATTTCCTCTAATAATAAAAATGTCACCTTTGGTATCCCCAGCAAAAATCACAATGGTCATTGGGCAAATGTAAAAATCAGAAACCCTAACGATATTATGTCTACATGGTCACACACGTTGATTGTGAAGATCTCACATTCTATCAACAGTCAGACAACATGGTTGTTCATATTCATTTCCACTATCCTCTTAGAATTAGTGATACATATTAGAGTCTCACACAAAAAATTATCCTAGTAATGCCTACAAAATAACAAGCAGAAAGTTGGGTGTGGGGGAAAGGGACATATTCCTACGTGAAATAATAAGACATAAGAAGGGGTGACTGCACTATCGTGATTGTACTATCTAAAGTATACTTTTGGCGAACGAAAAAGTTGTATTTGCAATCACCTGGAATGACTCATGTGGGCAAAACTTAAAACGAATAGGTCCGCAAT